GTGCCTGATGATGACCATGACACGCTCCATGAGGACCAGGGCATGTACGAGCGTCTGACGTCCCAGCAGCTCTTCCTGCTGCTGGACTGCCTGCTGGAGTCCCACAAGTTTGCCAAGGCCTTCAACTCCAACAACGAGCAGAGAACGGCGCTCTGGAAAGCAGGTCAGTTCACTAACAACGTGACTGTGCAGAATCTTAGCAGGGCTCAAAATATTTTTTTCTGGTATGCTTTTATTCCTATTTTGGGAAATAAACCTATCTACTACTACTCCCTGCAATGTTTTAAGTTAAAACTTTTGACCCAACATAAAGAAAATTTTTTGACTGTAAACATGTAACTAATAACTCAAACTTTCATGATAGTACTACCTGCAATGTTTCAAGTTGTTAGTCAAGATTTTACCGGCAATTCTGCAAAGTTTGATGCAAATAACCTACCCCTGCCCTTTTTTAACCTTCTTCTACAAATCAGAAGCTTTTACTATCTTCTTGCAAAGCTAATACCTGCGCTCTACATGTAGCTGTTTTTTATGCATAGCTAGACTATAGTTCATCATACAAAGCCTGCATTATACAATGTATTTAGCCTGCAAAACTTAATTCTTACATTTTTACATTCATCTTGCATTTCCTGCAAATTGTGGGTTGGTACAAATGTATATTGAGCCCTGTTTATTTATGTATGGTGCTGTGTTTATTTGTGAATGTGTGCTTTGTTCTGCTGTGAATTTTTTGTGGTTATGATTAATAATTGTATGTATAAAAAAAATTCTCGTTTGTTATTTGCCAAGCAATTTAGAGTTAGAAATTTGATAACACATAATACTACTGTATACAGTGTATAGAGAAGCAGCTGAAGGTTGAATTTGTCCATACCTTGTACATTTGTTATGTGTGACAATGTGTTTGGTCCATGCTTTTGTTACATTAAATGCTAAATTCTAATATTTTAGCTAATACATGTATATTTAATTTTAAAGCAGATAATTTTGTACAAATTTAATCCCATGGTCAGACTAATTAATGTAAAAGTAGAACAGGGTTTGACAAGCTAAGTCTTACCTTGTGATGACAATATCAGTGTGAAATATACTGAACATCTAGCTTGGCATGAGTAGCTCTTTTAACATATGAGGACTCAGGAAATCTTAAATCAGCAGCATTGAAATTCAGCATATGTGAATTTATTAACGCAAAACGTAGCCAATTAGGCCTGTTAAGCTCCAAGTTATTTTCCCTTGTATGTGATAGATCCTGCATATAAATTTAACCTTGCAGTTGCTACCCTAAGGAAGCCATCTCACAGTTCCAAGTGCTTATGTGCAGTTGTGGTGAATTGGGCTAGGTCAAAAGTCAAGATCCCTCACTTGTACACAATTCATTGTCTAGATGTGTGAATAATAGACTGTGATCACATGGTTTGTCTACTTTTAAGGATCTTAACCTCTGACCTTACCCACAATCCCCTGCAGTACTGGACCTGTGGGATGGCATGTTGTTTGCCTTTTCTCTTAGCCACACGTTTGCCTATTTGCTAACATGCACGCAGTGCCTTTTTTCAGCGTACGGTGTTTGCACACTTCCAAATAACTTCTGCTTGAAAGAAAAAAATTGTCCCAAAGCCGTCAATTTGTTGATGTATTGTACGTTTTTCTTTTCAGAGCTCTTTGTTTCTGTCAGTCATATGTTGAAGTATACAGACCTTTGTTCCATAGGTAAAGATTTCTCGTGTATGATTTGACTAATACACATCAAGTGTTGTTCTGTACGTGTTGCTAGATATGATGCAGCATGTACTAATCTACTGCCCCCCTCCCCACCACCACCACCATATGGTCTCTGGCAGGCTCTGTTGTGCTAGCTACTGATTGCTATGGATACACAGAACTACGTTTGGCTTGCCTGTAGGGTATACATTGTAACGTTACATGTATGTTGGAAAAGTAAGCTTTCTGGACAAAAGGGAGTAAAAGTAACCTAATGCTTGTAGATGTAGTAGAGTCCACCTGTGTGAAATTTGAGGGTTTGGGGAATTCTGAAGTTTGTACATGCAGTCCTATTAGTTTGCTTGTGATTTAAGACTTAAACGATGCAAGGATTTTCCTTTGTCACATTTTGAAAGATGCCATCAAAATCGTTCAATGTCTTGTGATAACACATACTGTAGCTTTTGTGCTTTTTGGTCTGAGTTAATCATTTTGACTACTTCTTACTGGTTTGAAACAAGGCAAGAGATTATAAAAAATTCACTCCTTTTCTGAGCTTACTTCACACTCATACATGCCCTATTTAAGGTCCATTTGCAGTTCTGTGTTCTATGTCAGTACCCAGCTTCACTGGAGCTTGTTGAGACCATAGTGGCACACAGACAGTGGTCCCAGATGTACGTGTGAACAATGTGTATATTTGGTTATTCTCTCCCACCAGTCAGTTTAAGTGGCATGGAAGGACACTTTACCAACCTGTTGGACCTGCACCCCGACATGAATGAGCGAACTCCCTGGGAATGTGCTGGTAGTCAAAAACACACTCCAAAATTTCACCTCCCTCTCTGCTTGTTTCACGTCGTGGTCACTAAGCACTTGTCTGCACGTTGGGGATATCTGTCAGGGAGGTTCAGTAAAGATTCCCCCAGGCCCACTTCCAGGCTTTGTAAAAAAATGCACATTTATTTTTCTATCCATGGGTCACATAGCTATTTTAACATCTGAATTCAGTGGTGATCAGGGTCCTGAGTACTCAGTATGTTCTTCAAAAGTCCTCATGAACTACCGTAATATTCCGTAGATTGAGACCTGGCACTTTCATTAAGCATTTAGACTAATTATAAGAGTTTCTTTCCTCTTTTTCCCTGGAAAATTGGTCCACAATAACTTTTGATGAACATAACAATATATATACAGGACCTGTAGTCTGAATTCATCTGGCTCCAATATTACACTTAAAAAGAAAGTGTTCAAAAACGAAAACATGCATGTGACCTATAGAAATATGTGTGATTATGCATAGCAATATCAGCCCCTTCTACCTGG